CTCATATTCAGGTCAAAGAGTAGAAGCGAGGCCTCCTGGACTTCAGAGTGACAAATCTTGGATACCAAGGCTCAGGTATGGATTTGGATTTTGCAATAGAAATAGGACCACCCTAAGAATTACGCATTCTCTTGGGGACTTCCTATTGCTGCTATCAAAGGCACGTGATCACATAGCTTCAATTGTCGTAGAGATTTTAAAAGCCAAAGAGTGACAACAGACCCCACAGGTGTGTGGCCTGCAAGGTTTCTCCCCAGCCCCATCTCTGTGTCCTGCAGCCGAAAAGTCACTTGCCTCGCCAGAGTTTAAGCCCCTTGGGAAGTGAATGAGTTCCCGGGGCTGGTTAGCTGAAGAGTTGAATTCAGCCTTCTGACCCCAAATCCTCAGTGTGATGGTGTTCCTTCTGCCCGTTCTCCTTTCAGGTTAAAAGCCAAAATTTGACTGAAAAATTTTGAGGAGGCAAGCAAAATAAAAATAAAATGAAATGAAATGATAGGAAACAACTGTGGGGTTTTGTTTTTTAAAAAATTCTTCTTTTCCTTCTCTCAGGGGCAGGAACAGAGAGAGAGAGAGTAAAAAAAAAAATATGGTTTTGATGTCAGACAAGCTCAGTTGGATCCTAGGCCTCTTGTTAAGCTTCTGGTCCCCCCCAAATCACCATCCTTGTCATGTGGTTCGAAATGCTTTTAATTGCCAAGGTCTCAAAGACTTAGGAGTCAGCCACTGCTGACGTCCAGGCGAGGTAACACTAGGTACCACGTTGGGAAGATAGTGGACCGTACACTGAAGAAGAAGAGGCACCATCAGGGGCACAGCCGAAGCTGGAGCAGAAGGATGTCCTTGCCTTGGGTCTGTTGGAGGTGGATGGGTAAGTTGTGGAGAAAGTAGGACTTCAGTGAACCTTTTGTGCTAGATGCTTGGGCCTCAAAGACGAATGAGAAGTCACCAAAGATAACCAATGGGCACTGTGAGCTTGGGGTAGGCAGCGCCAGCATGTGCCTTTCATTTACTGTCAGGTCTTCTCAGGTGAGGAACTCGCTGGGTGAGGTCTCCCGGTGTGCCTCTTGCTCCCCCCACCCGCTTTCTGCATGTCTAATTAGCCTGAAATCTCAGTGGAAGCACTGGGTGGGTCAGACACTGGCCCTGAAGTTGGTTCACGACAACCACATATTGCTTGTGGACTCTTAATTTCTCTCTCCTGTTTAGGGAACAAGTAACTCCCAGTTGGAAGTTTGCTGAGGAGGATGACCAGCCATCCCCAGCCCCGCTCCCCGCACCCATGTCAGTCAACAGAAAGCAGGTAGCTGGATGTGACAATGGCTAAGCCGCCTCCACTTTAAATGACCATGAATGAGGAATCTTACTCTGCTGAGTCTCCTATAGCTGCTCCCTTTTGAAAGGGGAAGGTTGCTACTATACTTTAGCATTTCCCCATCACTGATAACCCCGGATTCCTCACTGTAGAAGACCTTGAGCAGCTAAGCCTGTGGCTCTAGAGCATCTTGGCCCAGCCCTGGCACTTTGGGCTTATTTGTCTTACTGCCTTCATCTCCAGAGACAGAATCAGATGTAGCAGCTTGTTCTCTTTTTAATTAAAAAAAATAGCATTTCCACATATCCATTTTATATTTAATAATACTCTTTGATCATACCTCTTTGTTCTCATTTATCCCTTCCCCTCTCCAGAAAAGTCTCTTCTTAAGTCTCCCTCACACATTGAGCAAAGGTAACTTAACAATGACTACATCACTGAGGAATAGGATACCTCTTCCTCCAGCAACAACCATTAACTATGCTTTACCCCTTAATGCTTGCTTAATGGAACCCTCTGAGACGTTTTATATAGTGCCTTCATGGTCAAACGCAAGAGTCCCTGGGGCCTGGTCCGGAAAGTAAATGAAGTAAGAGATTTCTAGCAGGTAGGAGGTAATTCTGGCAAAGACGGAAGCTGACTTCTCTAAGGAGGAGAAGAGACTCGAAAGAGCAGGGAGACACGAAGGTGGAGGTGGAGGAAGATGGGGATGAGAAGGAAGAGGAGGAGGGAGGAGTCAGCAAGTGGGATGCTTGGAGGTCAAGGAGGAATCGGGCAGAGTGGAGACCAGCGGCGCATCCAGGTGAGGATGTGCTCGAAGCCCTTACAGCCAGGTAGAAGCAAGAAGGGTTTTTACCAGGACACAAGTAAAACTTGGCCAGAAATAATCTAGTCTTAAGTATGCAGGACAGAATGAAGGGAGGACCTGAAAGAAAGGTCACCAGGGGGAGTGAAGTTAGGACCTGCTCGGGTCTGCAGTGAGTACATCTGAAGACGTGGATGTGGTGCAGGAAGCAGGATGCAGGCGTGAAGAAGAAAGGCACACACTCCTGTCTGTGGGGAACTCACGTTCAAGAACAGGAAACAAATGGAGATACAACTTTTAATCAGTATTCCATTTTACTTTAAAGAGATTTGGACAATGTGAATGATTTTATTTTCAACATCTCTGCAGATAAAATAGAACTGGTCTTATGAGGGTCACACGTGCATGACTAAACATGACCAAGCATGACCAAGCAAATTTCAGAAAAGATGTCAATTAGACTCCATAATGTGAGTCTTTGGAGGCTGCATCATTTACCTTAGATACTGAGCATGAGGAAAAGCTGCAGGCAGGCCAGAGCGGGCGCTGGACGAGGAAGGCTGTGCTACCACGCTGCGCGGCTGTCAGTCTACCCCCCTCAACATGCTTGTTACGTGTTCAGCTCCTGCAGGCACTGGGGCTTGGAGCTACCCAGAGACTGATGGTCTCCCAGGAACCCCCAGATTTTTCACTTTTAAAAACGAGTATTAGAGAATCTATAAGGAAGATTCAAACTGTGCTCACCCAGCTGCTGAGAATACCTTCTTATCGTGAATTGAGCAGAAGACATTGGGAGGAGCCATTGTACAGTTAAACACAGTTCTATGTGTTCTCTCTGAGAGGGACCTTTGAGCCTCTGGGCCTTGGGTCTTTGTCAGAAGAAGACCTGGGCTTGAGGACCAGAAAATGGGCAAGCGTGAGGCTAGGAAAACACAGGTAACCCCCATCTTTCCCTTGGGCAGACTTGGCTGGGTCCCAGCAACCCAGGACCCCTGGGGCAGTAGAAGTGCAATCTCTTCCCCGGAACAGTCTGAGAAGGTGGACATTGGAGCTCTAGGGAGAAGAACTACAGAAAGAAACTGGGTTAGGGACAGGTGGCATAGGCTTGAAGAGACTCTTGGGTGAGTGCTGCAGGAGGGAGGGGGAAGGACTATGGTCTTGCCCACTAGAGGTACCGGAAAAGGGACTCCACATCTGCTTGGGTTGGTGGGGGGGGGGGGTGGTCTGTCTCCAAAGACACAGGCCCATGAGGGGAGCTACAGGGAATGCCTGGTTCTTACTGAAGTGGTCTTCCTCTCCCAGGATGTGGCAGTGGTCCCAGTCAGACTCACCCTTGCCTGTAGAAGGGCAGCACCTGCCAGCCCAAGGATGCCCCGTGCACTGGGGGAATTCTGTGAATATTACCTACTTATGAATAAATCTATCAAATCTGTTTTTGAAACATGTAAAGTTGCCTTTCTGGAGATGCCAATGATAATTCTTCAAACATTAAACATTTCTGTACCCGTAAAAAGTAAAATAAAATACAGTCCAGAGGGTCAAGAAATTTAAAGGGAATACCTTGATTTAGGGCCAGGGCATTTTGTGGAACTATCTTGTTGTGACTGGACATGGTGGGGCTATGATGGGAAGGGTAAACGGGTTAAAGGGGACAGGGGAGGTGAGAGACACTAAGATTTGAAGCTGATACAAGAAGGTTTGGGTCTGGAGGTTTGGAGGGGTTTAACTGTGGAGTCATGCTGAGGCATCTAAGTGGGCTGTGTACACAAAGCAGCTAGAGCTGAAGGGGAAAAGCCAAGGAGGGGGATGGAGGAAATGCCCCCAGAGAGGTGAAAGATGTAGACGGGAAAAACGAGTCTCACAGTGTGAAGCACGGGGAGGGGGGGGGAACACGACACTTAGGCTGGAGATGTCTTGTTCAGAGGCCTGAAGAATAGGCACAGAGGAGCAGGGCAATAGAAGAATAGGGAAAGTTTGCACAAGTCACAGGGCAGATGCGAGGAGGAGGGGTACAAGAATCCAGTGCCCCAGAGTGAGATCAAGAAGCAGCAGCAGGGGATGGTAGTGCCGCCCGCCCAATACTGGTTTACTGGAGGACCTAAGTTTGGGTCCCAGTTCCCATGTTGGGCAGCTCAGAACTTAGTGCAACTCCAGCTCCAGGGAGCTCTAGCTCCCCCTTTTGGCCTCCAAGGGCACCCGCACTTAACATTAAACCCACACCACTTAATATTTTCTTTTTTTTTTTTAAAGTTTTTTAAAAAGAGGATAAAGGCACAGATGGGGCAGTAGGAAGGTCATGTGCCATCACTGAGGGGTCGGCGTCAGCGGTGTGGTGACGTAGAAACCAGGCAGTGTGTCTAAAGAGAGGCAACCGGCATGGGTCTTTCGTCGTGAAGGATGAGGCACTAGCGAGTCAAGAAGTGAGAGGCAGGAGGTGAAGAATGAGAGTTGGCAGAAGCTGGTGTTGTGGAAATCACACCGAGTTACAGGAGTAGAAAGGGTGAAAGTGTAGGTGGGGTAGAGAGTGAACTTCCAGGTCAGGAAAGTTGGTGCTCAGCTTCCCCTCCACTGCTGGATCTTACACAGCCTCTTCCCAGCACTCAGGAGGCTGAAGTAAAAGGGGGGTGAATTCAAACTCAACACGGACTCTGTGGTGAAACCTTGTCTCAAAAACAAAGACCAAGATGGAGGTGTAGCACTGAGTATACGGAGGCAGGCCATTGTGACTATTGGGTCAGAGTGCTCATGTGCCAATTGGTGGAACATCCCAGAAGAGAGATTGGCCGTATCAGGGTACCAGACACGTCGTCTGTGCCACTTACTCCTTTAGTAAAACTGGGAGATTAAGATACTATATTTTTTAGTTTTTTTTTTTTTTTTGTGTGTGTGTGTGTGGTGATTCATGCCTTTTTAAACACATACCAACTCTGCATCTGTCATCTGTCACATCTCCTCGTTCATTTAGGATGCTGGCGCTTGTCCCCAACTTCTCCGTGTGTTTTCTGTAAAACCATTTCTCTCCCCAAGGTTTCCCTTTTTCTCTTCTGAAATTAGGCACTGGTGTCCTGAGACCAGTCTCTGAGTTGCTTCCTCATCCACTGCTTTCCACAGCCCAGGGGTTAATTTTGAGCTACGCACCACTTCTGCCTTTGGCTCAGAACTGCTGCCCCAGAGCTCCTGGACATTAGTACTCATGTGTTTCAACAGTTCCCAGAACTCACATTTTCTTCACATTCATGATGAGTTCTCCACACCTCGGCAATGGAGAAGAGGATCTAGGGAAGAGGGCAGGTGGAGGGGAAAGTTCTGGAAGGAATGGAGGGAAGGGAAACTTCAGTCAGCATGTAATGAATAAGAAAACAATAATAAAAAGACAACAAACCTGTTTTCGTCTGAGAGAATGGCACCACCATCCCTCCATGCAGAAGTTTCTAGTACGGTAGCTTAGGAGCGGTATCGAACACTCTTGTCAGTTTTTACCTCCTGAGACAATAGCTCTCCCAACCCTCTCCTTCCTACAAAACTGTGGAAGATGATCAGCTGCCTCTCCAACTTCCACACTTGCTCTCTCCATAGTATTCTTCCTACTGCAGCCAGAGTGTCTTAAACTTTCTGAAACTGTGATCTTATTGATTTTCTATTCTTGTCCTTTGATGCAGAGGACAATCCTTCAAGCCGAACTACCGCCGTCTTCGTGAGTTCAGCCATGCCTACTTGCAAAAGGTCATTGCCTCCTGTCTACTGGGAGGCGTGGGAGGGCTATGGGACCCTCACCTGAGTATCCAGACATTCCTGCTAACCAGTTGTATGCAATTCTTCCCTAACTGCACGTGAAGACAGGAAGGGGCTAGAATATACAAAGTGGGAAGGACTAGGGAGAGGATTTAATCTATATATCTATGCACCTGTGGGGGAGTGAAGAGCCACACCTGGCATGGACTTTCCAGTGAGGCTGCTGGAGGGTCACCTGCTCCTAACCTCAATCTTTCACCCATATTTCTGTAAGCGCCCCTAATCAACTCACTGGCCCTCCAGAGTGGGCTGTGGTGGGATCACACCACAGTTGTCTTCAGGACCTTCACAGGAGGGAATAGATGTTTATATCTTCCCTGGGGAAAGAATTCTGACAACCCTCTTCATTTCTTTCCATTTCACACTTTGTTAGCCTCTCAACTCCCAGCAGCTTCATCACAGCCTATAAGAATGGGTCTGGCCCAGTGCGCCCCACACAGCCTCCCTTTTTTGGATCTCTGAGTCCGTTGCTTTCTGTGCGTTTTTTTTTTAATTTATAAAAGTTTATTAATTTATAAAAGTTTCCATTTTCGCCCCTCCTCCCAACACCCTCCCACTCCCCCCACTCCCTCTCCTCCTCCCTCTCCATCCCTAAGAGCAGTCAGGGTTTCCTGCCCTGTGGGAAGTTCAAGATCCTCCCCCCTCCCTCCAGGTCCAGGAAGGTGAGGATCCAAACAGACTGGGTCCCAAAAATCCAGAATATGCAGAGGAAACAAGTCCCAGTGTCATTGTCAATGGCTTTTCAGAAAGACTCCGGGCCAGCCACATTCAGAGAATCCGGTCACATTCAGAGAATCTGGTTGGATCACGTGCTCGTTCAGTCCCAGTCCAACTGGCCTTGGTGAATTCTCATTAGATCAGTCCCCTTGTGGGTGAACGCACTCCTCATGGTCCTGCCTTTCTTGTTCATGTTCTCCCTCCTTCTGCTCCTCATTTAGACCTTGGGGGCTCAGTCCAGTGCTCCAATGTGGGGTTTGTTTTGTTTTAACTAATGATTCTTTCTTAGCACCATCAAGCTTCCCTGCCCGTGTCTACCCTGTCTACTACTCCACAGTCCCTTAACTTCCTAGGGCAGAATGTTCTCCAGCCAAAAGACTGCCCCCCACTAGAAGTCACTCACTTGAAAAAACAATCAATAAGTTTTTAACTGTTCCTAAGACCCTGTCAACTCCAGGGAGCCAAGGTACCACCTGTCTTGCTTAGGAGTCTTACCCTGGGAAGAGTCCAAAGAAGGGATGCAGTAGGGGAACCAACGTGGCTAGGTGATGTTTCTTCAGGAATGAGGGACTTAAAAGAGGGAGCCTGAGGGGACTGCAGAGAATGAGAAAGAGGGCAGACTCTTTCGTGCGTGCGTACTCCTCTCAGAACAGCCAGATAGTCTCCCTGGTGGACAGATCACTGTCAGCTGAAAGGTAGGATGTAGTAAGGTCTCGTCAGACCTGCAACCCCTCCCTGCAGAGGCTTTTACCAGGATATCTGGGGATCCCTTCTGGCACTATGGGACTTAGGGCTGTGTCTTAACCCCAAGGTTGCTGGGACACCAGAGGTCTTTGGCAAACTGAGGACTTTCCATAGAGGCTTGACATTTCCTTACCCTGAGGTTGGAAGGGCATTAGGTGCAGGCATTAGGTAGGACACCTGAAGCTACATATAGCACACAGGTAGGCCTGGAGAGATCCCGTGTCCAGAGCCCCTGTATCAGGGGGGCCCAAGCCTGGGGTGCCATAATAGGTAAAGACTACCTGAAGGTAGCAATAGAAGGACCTGAGGCGATGGCCCTCAGAAAGTGGAGATTCAGGTAGTAATGCTGCTCTTGAAGGAGCTATGCACTTGCAAGTTGTGTGTGTGTGTGTTTTCGTGTGTGCGTATTGTATGGCTTTTCTAAATGTGAATAAACATGTATTTACCCCTGATAGGTCATTGACAACAGATTAAAAATATGGTTCCTCCCAAATCTAGTCTAGTGAGACAAGGAGTTTATTGATGTCACAGGTGAGTCAAAGGCAGGTGCTTCACCAAAAGGTCCACCCCAGCATGGGTGATGACCCACAGATGCGACATACTAGGAGCGCTCTGAGCAACTTGCAGGCAGCTCCAGTGAAGGGACCCTCCTCCCCGCTAGCAGGCTTTCTCACTTCTGCCGTGCTGGAGAGGAACCTTACGTATCAGCTTCATTCTCAACATACTGAACTTGAGCCTCCTGTCTGCCTCCTGGAAGAAACCTTTTAATCCACAGGAAGTAGGCTACGCATATGCACTTTGGGGTAAGAGCGTGGTGTGGTGTCACTGGCAGGGGACTTGAAGCTGCTGCTTTGAACTTGCCAGGCTTTTCAATGGTCCTGCACTGCTATTCAAAAGATTCTGCTCAACCCACCTATGTAGCTCATCTGGGTGTTCCACCAAACACAAAAACCAAAGATTAGGGAGACAGGAATTTCAGAGGAACTGTTCACCCGTGTCATCCAGACATCACAAAACCTTGATCCGTAAAAGGGCTCATTCTAAATAACCTTCCCTTTAAGAGATGGGAAAGGATCCTATCGTAAATCCCCCAAGGCTGCCACAGTAAGCAACAGCATGGCACAAATAAAACCTGGGCATAGGAGAAGACCAGTCCCGGCTCCACCATACAAAAGCTGGAAGTATTATAAAAATTCCTATTCTCCCGTAGGGGTTTGACATCCTTTTTGAGAAGCCAGCATTTTTTTAGCCCGTTTGAATACAGACATATGCAGCCTCCACTTTGAGTGGCAGTTGGCTACTGTAAACATGGCCATGTAATTGGAAATTGTGCAAAACAATCCTGAAGCTCTAGAGAATATTTGTTATTGTTCTATGACCTTTAAATTTTTCTGCCAAAACATCACTTTTATCACTACTTATGCTTCTATAGAAAAACAAATAATGAATATTTCCACACATAATAATTTAAAACCGTTCATATCTTTAAGTGATTTCTCTTTGTCTTCTTTCTTTTTTCTCTTTTCTTTTTCTCCTTTTTCTGTGTGTGTGTGTGTGTGTGTGTGTGTGTGTGTGTGTGTGTGTGTGTGT